GGAGGAACAGATGAGGCCTAATGTCCATGAGATGCCACCAGGTGCAGTGAATATAGCTGCTAACTCATGCTTTACATCTGACTAGTGAAAACTACATAAATCGCACAAAGAGCGACTGCAACATCTAAGCCATTCTGTTCCCAGACTTTAAAGCGTCTTGCTGCTGTTACTTCCTGGATTGGCGTCATGCAGGCATAGTTAGGTCATTTAGGTCGGCAAATGTTGAGCCTTTGACCACAATAACAGATGATTCCTCTTCCTGTTGCACTAGCTGTCCCTTGTTTACAAGTAGCAGTGGATGCTAAGCAGGGCTAACCTTTTGAGTAGGCATCATCCGCTGCTGTGGCCCTTTACCAGCCTTTATACCATAAAACATGAACTCTTGCATGGTCGGTTTCCTTCATTCTGCTGATAAACTGACAGCAGGGAAACACCCCACATTGTTTAAAGTGTAAAAGTACGTTATAAAATTGTTCATTTATTTATTTTGAAGGAAGATTCAAGAAGTCTGGGTGTCTATCTGAAAGCTACGTTTCTTTGGATCAGCTTCTAGGCTTCGAAACGTGTTGAACAGCAGTAATGCATCATGCAAGAGGAGGCGTGGCTTTACGCTCCTTTAAGGAGGTTAAAGGTGAAATATTCCTCCATCTCCCCTATTTGAAGAAAATATACTTTGTTATAAGAAAAAAACAATAAAGAACAAATATTCATATTTTGTTTCAGCAATAAATATTTTGATTTGTACAAAAAAATTTATTTTTACTTTTTTTTTGTCAAAGTAGCTAAAAGATTTCACTGAAGATCAGAAAGTTTCTGAGTTAAAAAGTTATAAAGTTGATTTTCTTTCATGTTTTTAAATCCTAAAGGCACATTTGCTTATTTTATACGTGATGAAAAATTCCCAAACATTTGATTAAGGCAATAAATTTTGGGACTTAAATAACATAAAATTTCAAAATTCTTGTACCGTCTATTTTGACTGTAATATTATTTCAGTTAGTAAGAACTATATACATTAGTTTGCAGGCTTTACTTTGACCAAAACTGTATCTTTGATTAATTAATTTGGTTTAGAATTGTACATATTAAACATATTCTTTAGAAAAAAACAATAACCATGAAGAAATTAATTAAATGTTATAAGCTACGTATTTCTTTTTATTGCTCCACCTTAAATAGTCAAGAAAATCCTAAAATAAGACACCAACAGATCCGTTAAAATTTCAGTTTGTTGAGCAACACATATTTTGTCTGCATGTATAACTGTGCTGACGGCAGCCATGTAATGATCTAAAAGGTCATTTAACCCTTTATAGGGCAAGTTACCGTTTTTTAATAACCTGCCCGTCCCTCAGTGAG